CTGTCCAGTATTTTTTTAAAAAAATCTTTTAACATTTATTTTTGAGAGAGAAAGAGAGAGGTAGAGCACAAGTAGGGGAGGGGCAGAGAGAGAGGGAGACACAGAATCTGAAGCAGGCTCCAGGCTTTGAGCTGTCAGCACAGAGCATGACGCAGGACTTGAACTCACGAACTGTGAAATCATGACCTGAGCTGAAGACGGACGTTTAACTGACTGAGCCATCCAGGTGCCCCTATCTGTCCAGTATTAAAAAAGAAGTTTTTTTATGTAAGAATTTAAGACCATCTCTAATATATTCCCAGTAAACATTTTCACCAAGAATTCTTTTCTTCTTTTGTAGTTGTTTCCTGATAAAGGCACAGAGAAAACAGATAAGGTATATTTTCTTGAGTTTTAAAATTTCAGAACTAGATATTGCTTGAATGCAGATTAATTGGAGAAAATAATTATTTTCAGGTTGATTTTGATTTAGCTGAAGATACCAAATTGATAGAGCTAGATGATTCACAGAAAAGTGAGCACACTGTATTCATAATGCCACCAGAGCCACCTCCTGATGATGGAAAGGATCTGTCACCAAAGTACAGGTAGCAAGAATTTTTTTTAATGCTCTTTGTGTTCAGTTTTAATAATTTATTTTGATCTTTTGTGACTGTTAGTAGATATGTATATTAGTCATTTGTGAGAGTCATTTTCAAAAAATAATTTATTCACTGAACTAACGGATATGAATATTACATGAAGATGTTATGAGGTATTGTAATTTAAGAATTGGACAGACTTTTTCGAAGGGAAGCCAAATGTGTCTTCAAAAATTTCATTTCTGGAGAAGAATAAATTTACTTTTGTGAGGTTTCTCCTATGTTTGGGTTTTTTTTTTTTTATCAATGTAAAGACTGAAATTCTTATGCATTAGTAAGATACAGAGAAAACTTAAAAGTAGAGGGCCAGGAATCATTATTTATTAAAACAGGTGATGGGGATTAAAGACTGCACTTGTCGTGATGAGCACTGGGTGATATATGGCAGTGTTAAATCATTATATTATATGCCTGAAACTGATATAACCCTGTATTAACTACAAAAAACAAAAACAAAACAAAAAACAACTTGAAGAATAGGATTTGGATGGGAACCTTTTAAGAAATTAAAATATATTTGTTATTTGTTGTTATAATTATGATAATACACAGTTTAACAAACTTAGAATTATCAAACCAAAAAAGAAAGCTAGCATATCATTTACGTACCATGCTTAATGTCTCTTAACAACTCTATGTATATCTTTCCTGTTTTTGTGCATAAATTTGCATTTACTATATTAAAACAAATATGAGTTCATATTGTACATATTCTTTGTAACTTGTGTCTGCCTTTAGTGGTCTGGACATTTTTCCATGCTAACAGATATTTTTGTGCCATATCATTTTGAATGACCATATTGCATGCATTTAATTGTGATTTGTTTAACTAGTCTCTTGTGGATTTTTTTTTTTTTCCTGGTTCTTTATCTATATCCTTGTGTATATACATAGTTTTTTCCTTAGGCTGCATTCCTAAAAGAATATCTGAGGCAAACGGAGTATAAAATAATTGTCTTCCAAAAATATGGAATTAATATCTTACCAGGACTGCATAAGAATGAAGAGTACATATCTGGAATTTAGTGGCTTAATGAAGAAGTACTATTTTGGTTGCATGTTAGTTATAGAATTTTTTTTCCTTTGTTTTAATCACTATACATTGGAATCCATGTATTGACAAACAAGGTGAATCAAATAGGGAAGGGCAATATCTCCCAGAAGAAAATTGGCCAAAGGCAATAGGTAGGCAATTTCCAAGAAGAAATGCCAATAATCAATGTGAAAATATATTAAGCTTCTCTAGTATTGAAAGAAATGCAAACCAAAGTGGTGAGTAGAAGCATTTTTAACCTGTCAGATTGAGAATAGGTTGTGCTACTATTTAAAGTGTAAGACTGTATGGAACTATAACCTTTCTTGAAATAATTTGATAGTGACTATAATAATTTTAATTTTATTGATAAACATTGACCATAGCAAAAATACAAAGGTATAAATACACAAATATTAATTGCAGAAATTCAGAAATAACCTAAAAATGTCCAACAATAAAGAATGGTGGAATTCTGGTATGTCCCTAAAATAAAAATCTTACGGATTTTTTTCTCGTAAATACCCATGCCAAGATACTTTTATGAAGGAAAACAAAATTGCCAGGTATAATAAATGTTACTTTTAATATGAATTATAATTAAACACATGGATTCTGTTGAAAGTTATTAACCTCTGTCAAGTAAGAGATCAGGGTTTTCTGTTGTCTAGGGATTGGTTGAAAATAATGAATAGGGTGGGGAGGAGGCCAAAGTTTCCATGTAGGTAGTCTCTGTATCTTATTATTACATCTTATATTTTTGAAAAATAATTATTTTTCTATCTCTGGATTGTGGTGAATAATATTGGGTACTATTTAAGATTTAGAAATACTCACCTAAATTCTGGAATAATGTGAAGAATTAATGTATTTTATATCAGCAGCTCTGTTTTTGCTTTTTATTTTAGTTACAAATACTTTCCAAGACTGGACCTTAAGCTTTTTGACAGACCACAGGAGTTGAAATTTTGTTTTAGTAGACACCCTACTGGGAATAGCATTACAAACAGTCCAGCTCTCATGGCTAAGAGAACTAAACAGGTCAGATATTCTTTATCTAATACATGTTAATTTAAAATGTAAAATATGTATATGTGATATGCAGCTCATAGTTTAAAATGATCACACATGGCAAACATTTGAAGACCCACTATGATTGTTAATGAAGTCAACTAGATGTTTTGCAACCCTACTTCTATTGTGGCTGAGGTTTTTGAGTGCTTATATTTATGCTTTAAGAGAATCCTTGGGAACCAAATATACTTTTTAAAAAACAACTTTATTGAGATATAATTCACATACCACACAATTCACCCATTTAGAGTATGCTCAGTGGCTTTTACTGTGCTCACAGGGTTGAGCAACCACCACCACAGTCAATTCTAGAACATTTTCATCGCCCCAAAAAGAAAAGCCTGTGCCCCTTACCTGTTAACCCTCCCATCCATTCCCCGCAGCCCTAGGCAACCACCGGTCTATTTTCTGTGCCTATAGTCTTGCCTATTCTGGGCATTTCATATAAATGGAATTATTATACAATATGTAGTCTTTTGTTTCTGGCTTCTTTCACACAGTGTAATGTTTTTAAGGCTCATCCACTTTGCAGCATGTGCTAGTACTTCATTTATTTTTATTGCTGAATATTCCATTGTATGGATATGTAGCACATTTTATTTATTCATTCTTGTACATGTGAGTGGTTCCTATTTATGGCTGTTATGCATAGTGTTGCTGTGAACATTTGTGTGTGTTTGTGAGGATATGTGTTTTCATTTCTCTTGGGTAAATGCCTAGAAGTAGAATTGCTGTGTCATATGGTAACTCTTTGTATAACCTTACTGTCGGACTGTTTTCCAAAATGGATATACCATTTTAAATTCCTCCCAGCAGTGTATATGGGTTCCAGTTGTGCCACATCCTTGTCAATTCTTGTTATCATCTGTCTTTTCTTTATAGCCATCCTAGTGTGTGAAGTGGTATCTCAGTGTAATTTCAACTTTCAGATCTCTTGTGGTTAATGTAAATATACTTTATGCCAAATACTACATTTAAAGGGAGTGAAAGGGAGCTAATTTAGAGCAAGCTAGACATCTTGCTTTAATACCATATCTGATTTAGGTGGAAAGAGTCATTCTGTGATTAGGTGTGAGTTAAAATGAAACATCTATTGACGTTGTGGTCTACAAAACATGGAAAACTTGAGAATGAAGTTTTTAGTTCAGGTTTTACCAATTCATATACAGCCCCCCAAATCCTAGAGGTAACCCCAGGTGTTCCTTAATATCATACAATACACATTTCTCTCAATGTCTGAAGGGAAGTTGTTGTTGTTGTTGTTGTTGTTGTTGTTATTTGCTTTTATCAGCTTAATAAAAGCCAGTTTTTAAAATGGGAGCATTTGGTTACTAAATCTTTAAATCTCATTTTCACCAGAATTTTTGTCCCCAAGGCTAGCTGGAAAAGAAAGACCTTCCTATTGTAGAAAAACAAGGGACTTTATTTTTAAATATATCTTCAAGCCTAATAGAAATAGAGCTTATAAAAAAATTAATGCACCAGGCATTTTTATTTAGAACAAACCACAGGAGAGGGGTTTTTAGTGCAAGGCACACAGTGGTCGTCTGATATACCTGGAAGGCTCTGTAGTTTCTGGGAGTATATAGTTAGATTAAAGCTCAGCAGGTGGTTTTGATGCCTACTCTTTTCCACCTAAATCAGAATGAAAATCAGAAGTAAGAAAACATCACTATCAGACTGTTGGGTAGGAAGGTCTGTGATCTTGTCAGACTATGTTGCCTGCAATGGCATATGTCTTTTTAAGGAATCAGTCAATGAAAGAATTAAAGACTGTGGTGAGGGAGGGTAAAAAGAAATCTTGGTAGGAAATAGACTGAGTTATTTGTCAAACATTTTAGTTGGGAGAAAGGTAGAAAGACTGTCACTTTTTAAGAATGCCATTGATGAACCTACAAGCTCTGAATGGTTAAATCTCTTTCATTAAACATAGGAGTGCCTTCTATGTGAAGGGCAACTAACTAGCCATTATATTATAAAAATATGAATGATCCCTGATTTTAAGGGATTTCTAGTCTATTAGGAAAGTCTTGCTTGCCAGCAAATAGTTACTGTGAAATATAAAGTGCTTCTATAGACGAATGTTGAGGAACCATGTTGTACTAAGTAGGAAGCCACTCATGAAAGTAAAACAGTGAAATGCTTGATTTTAGAGTCCAGTTTTACATTACATTCTTCTCTTCTCACTTTTCTCCCCACCCTAATGGATTTTAATAAATACCATACTGGGTTTTCTTGTAAGCTTTTTTGGTAAGTAATCCCTACTCCCAAGATGGGGCTCGAACCCATGACCCAGAGATCAGGAGTCGCATGCCCTACCGACTGAGCCAGCCAGGTGCCCCAAATACCATAATGTTTTATTTATTCTCTTTCTAGGAGATAAAAACGGCTCATAAGTTGGCGAAGAGATGTTACACAAATCCACCACAATGGGCCAAGTGTCTCTTCAGTCATTGTTACAGCTTATGGTTTATTTGTCTCCCAGCCTATGTTAGAGTTTCTCATCCTAAGGTCAGAGCACTTCAGCAGGCATATGATGTACTTATTAAGATGAGGAAAACAGATGTGGATCCACTAGATGAGGCAAGTATAATAAACTGAGTCATGATTACTAAGACATATTTTTGTATATTTAAGAAAACTAGGTCTTGGCCACTTTAAAGTGCTCTCAAGTATTTTCATTAAGCAACAAAGGTAAAGTTATTTGTTTCATAGAGCTAGTACTTATTATTTATTTTTAAGTACATTTGTTTAAAAATTATTGGTTTGGAATGAAGCAGAGACTGCCTTAGTTAAGTCAGGTTGGTTGCACCTTATAAATAGAAATTAATATTGACTTCATTTTATTCTTAGTATAACTTTATTAGAAAGTAAATACAAAATAGACTTTTGGTAAGTGGCTGTCTACTTAGGCTCTGTGTCCTAGGATGAGTTATATAACCTGTTGTTTCACATTATGTATCTGAAAATGTGGCACTGTTGACATTTTGGTCCACATGATTATTTATTGTGGGCCTGTTGTGTGCATTGCAGGATGTTTACCAGCATCCCTGGCCTCTGCATACTGGTTACCAGTAGCACCCTCCCTTCTCCTATGTGGCAATCAGAATGTCTGCAGACATTGCCAGATGTTCCCTGGAGGTCCAAATTGCCCCACTGATGTAGACAATTATAGTTGGTACCATCCTTATAAGGTTAACTTGAGGGCTAAATCAATTAATGGACAGATTGTGCCTAGAATAGTGCCTGGCTTATAGTCTAAGCACTGAGTGAATGATATGCTAAAGGTTTTATAGACACCATCTCTCTAAAGCTTCAGAGCCATCCTAAGAGATAGGTCGTGATATTATCCAGTTAATGGTTGAAGAAACTAAATCACTTATTTAGCCTTTTTCTTTGCTGTTTTTCCCTCTAAAAATAACATTTGGTGTTAAAATAACTGTAAATGATATTTAGAACCAGATTAGGATTTAAAGCAAAGTTGAAATAAAAATTCAGAGTAATGGGTATCTGAGGGGAAAGAGCACAGGGGGATAGAAGAGAAATGGGATTGAAGAGAAGGTGCATCACAGGCTTCAGCAATAATTCTATAGCTTTTCTTCTTAAAAATAAAAAAGATCTTAAATGAATATAGCATGTATAATATGAAGATTTGATAATGCTTGTGGGTACACTAAAACTCATTTTTCTCTATCAAGTATATGTTATAAAACCTTTTAAAATAAAAATTATAAAACAAATAATAAAGTATCCATTCTCACGTTTGGTTACATTTTCTTTCATCCGTTAATAAAACTTTGGAAATTAAAAGTGCTTGATCAGAGTGTTTCGTACTTTATGCACTTTAGTGTTTTAAAAAATTTGTTCTAATAGAGTTTTCTATCTAAAATGTGTTTTAAGATGTGTTTTAACTTGTGAAAGACCAAATATTTTTAAAGTGTTTTAAAGTATGCTCTCTGAATTGTTACTGCACTCTAAATTCAAAGTACAGTACTTGATAAATTACAAGTTCATAACACATATCATAAATTGCCTGAAAAGTATTTTCCTCTATAGGTATTAAAGTTCACTGGTAGTCTTTGGTACAAATAATTATCTTCTCTTGTTTTCTGACATGCAACAATTATGACTAGTAGACTAAAAATTTTTTTAAGATGATTTCCCTAATAAACACTGTGGTAAGATGTTTAAAATTTGGAGCTTAATTTGTTGTATTCCTACTTCTAACAAGTTACATTGACAGATTTTTTTTTAGTGCCCTGAAGTCATTACCTCTCCACAACTAGAAGAAAGAAATGTTTATTTTAAAACTTAAGAATATATATTTGCTAGGTATATTTCATACATTTTATCTGTTTATTGATTATACATGGAATAGCATATTTAAAGTTTTCACAGTATTGTCACATACATTTTTTCCTTTGGTATTCCCAGCAACTCTGTGAGGCAATTTATATATTAGCTACATTTTATAAAGAGAGTAATTTGAAACTTAAATGAAATGACAAACTTATACATAAGACTGCCCAGTTAAGTAGTTTTGAGTTTTAGGTCTATTTCATTAGAACCCACTGTCTCATTCATATACTTTATGTTTTAATTTGACGGCTTTGTGTGCTACATGTTATGTTTGGATTTTAAAATAAAACTCTTAGAAGATCAAGAAATAGCACATGCCACATAGACAAAACTACAGTGTGTAATGCATTTTGCTTTTAATACTATTTACAGAATAAAAAAAAAAATTTAATGTTTCCTTATTTTTGAGAGAGAGAGAGAGAGAGAGAGAGACGGAGCACTAGCGGTGAGGGGTGAGAGAGAGGGAGACACAGAATCTGAAGCGGGCTCCAGGCTCCAAGCTGTCAGCACAGAGTCTGATGCGGGGCTCAAACTCACAAGCTGTGAGATCATGACCTAAGCTGAAGTCAGGGGAGTGACAGAGAGAGAGGGAGACAGAATCCTAAGTAGGCTCTGCACTGCCAGCACAGAGCCCGAGGTGGGACCTGAACCCACAAACTGCGAGATCATGACCTGAGCTGAAGTCAAGAGTCAGACACTTAACTGACTGAACCACCCAGGCACCCCTAGAATTTTTAATGAAAATGAAATATCTGTGTCAAACATATTCCTACACTGTCTTATCAGTCTGTTCATCCGATATTGTCGTACATTGCTGAGTAACAAACCCTCCCAGAACTTAGTGGCTTAAAACAGTGATTTCATTAAATATTATTTTTTTTTTTTTTAATTTTTATTTATTTATTTTTTTGCTGAGAATCCAGAAAGGATTCTGGGTGATTTTTCAATGCTCCTCACCGCATTAACTGGGATCACTTGACAATAGTTGCTAGTTGATCTGGTCTGGAGGGACCAAGACAGCTGAACTCAGATACCAGCCAGGTGCCTTGGCAAGAATGATTGTGACGCTGGGCTCAGGTGGACCCCTCTCCCTCTCTGTAGGCTCAGGACCTCCCTCTGTGGTACTTGGGCTTTTTCCATGATAGCTTAGAGCTGGAAGAGCATTTGTTTCAAGAGAGAGGAAGTGGAAACTGGCAGTTTCTTAAGACTTAAGCCAGGAAACTAGTACAGTGTCCCTTTAGTCATATTCTATTGGTCATGTAGTCTCAGAAGCTCTTCTCCCTCGGTTCAAGGGTAGGGACATAGACCTCTCAGTGGGAGGAGTAGCAAAGAGTGCATGGTTATCTTTTATCTATTACAGGTATCGAAAAGATATGTTACAGGCAACAACATACTGCATTGGAAAAATTGTGTCTCTGTATTATTACTGTTTCTTTAGTTTGGTCCCTGGCTCTTATCTCTTATACAGGTAAAACTGGAAGGTTGGGGAATACTTTCCAGACTTCAGAATAAATTCATTGTCTAGAATGGTTGTAGAAAACCAACTTGACATAGAAAGTGACTTACTACTTTATGGCTCACAGAATCTTAAGAATTGATAGGATTTTAAGACATTTTAGTACAACTTGAATCTGAAGCTGAGATGCTCTGTATAAAGTCTGTAACATATGGGATCCTGCCTATATTTGAATTGAGTCTAATTATTAGGAAATGTGTATATGTTTTGTTGAGCCCAGTTCCACCTCCTCATTTTTTTTTTTTTTGAAATTATACAAATGATTTACTCCTTCCCTGTGGCTTTTTTGGAAAAATTTCAAACTGTTTACTCTTCAGATATTTGAAGAACCCTCTTGTATCCCATTCTTTTTCCTCCCTTCACACATCTTACCTACTTCCTTCAGTTGTCCTTGATTCCCAGTTCCCTAACACTTCTTTAACCTAGTCTAACAGTTCCTGACCTCCTTCTGCTTCTAAATTATACTCTCCATTTTTAGCTGCAAGTATTCATCTTTCTGATCCTTGCCTTTTCATGTCTATTTCATTTGTTCTGTTCTTTTAACTAAAATATCCTTTCTGAAATCGTTTTACTTTCCCCTCTGGTTGAGAGAGCAACTTGGCTTGATGGTACTCGTAGTTGTTCACCAACTCTGTCCTAAAGTACCAAGAAGAGTATCTTCTGTATGTATAGTTCCTTATTCTCAGACTAAGCTGTAACATAGTTTGTGGCTGCGCTGTCGCTGTTCCTATAAACTGGCTCAGCTCTTTGCCAGGAACCTTTGAGATCCCCATTTCATTTTTCATGGTTTCTCTTGTAGTCTTCTAATATGTGAGATTCTAACTTTTAGGAATTTCCAATTCACTGGTCCTCTTGTGATCAGAACAAGCCCTCCTCAGTAAACACACATTCTCAGAAAAGCCTTTGCTAATCAGATTACAGTGTCTTAAAGTTTCTTCTCTTACTTTTCCAAGACATGGGTTTACAGATCTTTTGTTGTTGTTGTTATGTAGGCATTCTGGGGGTGTTGTCTTTAACTCCTTTAGCACAGAATATAAAACATGATTTGTGAGAGAGTTATTTTAATCATATTAGATTTTAAAAATGCATTCCTTCTCAAATTATGGGGACTAGTAGTCATTCTCTTTGCATAAACTTCGTTACTGAAACGATCTTCTAGATCTTATGTGAAATAGTTAATAACACTGGTACTTTCATTAATGAGTAGGCTTCAGAAACAGTTTACTGAGACTCAGAAGAAAGGGTAAAGTAGTGCTTAATGACTCTGATAAGAAGAATTCAGTAATTTAAAAATCTTCTGCAAGTCATAGATAGACTGATATGCCAACTACTAATGCTTTGATGTTATTTTCTGTTAGGTGTGCTATCGAGTAGTAATGCAGCTTTGTGGACTTTGGGCTCATCCTGTTTTAGCAGTGAGAGTCTTATTTGAAATGAAAACTGCTAAGATAAAGCCAAATGCTATTACTTATGGTTATTATAATAAGGTAAGTAGGACTGACATTAGACAACATACGCTGCTTAATTAAGACTGATACATTTTTGTACCTTTTATTATTCATGAAATTTCTTTTATAGAGGTTTGGGCTATAGTTATTTATGTATATATTATATATGTATGTATCTGTTTAATAAATCAAGTGTTCCTAATAATTATTTTTAACCTTTGTTTTACCTTTAGGTAGTTTTGGAGAGCCCGTGGCCTAGCAGTACCCGCAGTGGTATCTTCTTATGGATGAAGGTACGGAATGTGGTACGTGGCTTGGCACAATTTAGGCAGCCGCTTAAAAAGACTGTGCAAAAGTCACAGGTCTCCTCAATATCAGGTAATACGTGTGATTGGAAAGATACTCTCTTGCTGAACCATAAGCTTTATAGGCATATGAGTTTTTAAGAGTATGAAGTAGGAAACGTAAATGAAATTCTGGTTGATATTTTCACATGCAACTAAAGGTAGAGGTTACATTATTATTCCCCCCCCACAAATTTAGAAAGTGTTCTGCAACTGTAAATGAATTGTGGGGCATTCGTGTTTAGTTTCAGAGATTATCAGTGCATGAGTTATTGAACTGCTATTGTCCTTATCTTTAGCTCCTCAGAATGCGACAGGTGGAAGTGATGGGGACACGGTGAGCCACGGTAGCGTGGATAGTTCTAATGATGCTAACAATGGGGAGCACACAGTCTTCGTCAGAGATTTAATCAGGCTTGATTCCACTGATAATCACTTTAGCACAGGTACTAAAATCTGGATTTTACTAACCCTTCACTTACTCTCTTGTTAAGTCTTTCCCTTTTTAAAAAGCTTTTCCCTCCTTTCTTGAGTTTGTGCAATATGAGTACTTTACAAATACTCTAGAAATAAGGGAAGAAATTAGTCCTCTGATTGCAGATCGCTTTTTATTTCCTGTAGTATAGCATTCTCTTCGAAGTGCTGTGCAGAAGGCTCTAGCACAGTGCTGCTTTGTATTTCTTCATCCTTGATTTGGGAAAGTATATGCTGTAACTGTAGAAATTGTGAACTGAGGGACTTGAATGTTAGGTGACACAACTTGCAGATACTTTTTCTCATTACGTGGAAAGTATTTATTGAGAATTTGAAATTATACATAGTAAATAGGGAAGAAAATAAGTCATACCATGAGAAAAAGTATTCTCTTTGCATAGTCATTATTTTAAATGACAATTTTTAAAATCTGAGAAATATCTGAAGCTACTTTTACAAACAAAGCCATGGGCATAACCTCTGTCCTCTGAAGCTGGAAATAAGCGCAATTTAAGTAGCACATTGAGCAAATATATGTGTGTTGCACATCCTTCTTTTTGTGTTGTTTTTCTTTTTTGTTGTTGTTGTTATTGTTAATATCTCAAGCTTTTCTTTAAAATGAATCCTAAGTCTAATTCCTGTGCTTCATCTGATGAACTTGTCTCAATGACTGAAGTTTCCTTTTTTCTGCTCTTTGTCGCTCCGCTTTTTGCTCTGTGCTGTTTCTTGGTGCTGCATTTGTCCTTGGCTGTCATGGTGTGGGGTGCAGACAGACTTATATGACGTGAAGCTATGGATACACGTGTGCGTTAATTCTACCCTTGAATGTTAACCACTTCAGGTAATTTCCCATTTATTAGGTTAAACTTTGCTGACATGCAAGGGTGGGGGAGAGACTTTTTGTTGTATTTAAAGTGTTGTTACAGGTGGAAAACAATGCTAGTTTTCTTGCCTTTTTCTCCTTCAGATAAGTGTAATCATATATGTACCACTGAAAATATCCAACTAACATTTTATGATCATTTTGCAAAGCATATTTGTTATTTTATTTGAAAATGTACTGTGCCTTGCTATAATTCTGATTTTGAGGTTTGTTTGTAGCACCACTGTATCCAATAGTTTTATGGGGATTAAATATTTCAATGTTCTAGCTGTTGAGATGGTTTTTGCTTGCTAAAACTGATCTGCTAAATTCTTGCACTAAAAATTACCCCATAAAAACAGAACCATGTATAAATCATTGAAAGTCAGCGTAGAGCTATAAGTTATAATCCTGTTTATAAAGCTACCTTATTTTATTTCTTCTTGTATTTTTTCCTAAAACTTATACAATATAAATGGATTTCATTTATGAAAAAATTAAGAAAATGTGATATGAAACCATGTCACCAGGAATAATTATAATTTTAAAAATAGTAATAGATACTCTCCTTATTCTTTTAAAATGATCCCCTTTAATGGAAAAAAAAAATCTAGTAATTCTGAGTAACTGGCATAAAGATTCTAATAGTTGGGGAAGAAACTTTAGATCCCTTTTCCATATATATCTTTTCAGTTGCATTTCAGATGGCTAAAGCCCTGTTTGCTGAATTTACAGTGATTTATGTGTCTTTGTAGAGTTTTTGATGATATCATTTGATACTTTTGGAGATTTCCAAACCAGAATTTTAAGTTACTCTTTCATTAAATATTATCTTGTACAGTCTTTCCAGTTGGTACCTGATATGGAGTCACTTAGCTTGTTGGGACAGGTATCTTGGTTTAATCAGCTTTCTTAGTTCCCATTTCATGGCACCATAATGCTTTCTGAGGGGGCCAGTAAAAAATCGACAACTTAATCATTCTAACTAGGGATATTTAGAGAAGTTTGGTTCTTTTGTTAAATTGCAAAGTTTGAGTGGCAGTGTAACAAGTGGTAGAAAGTGGAAGGCACTACAGTTAACACCTGAACAACATGGGTTTGAACTGCACGGGTCTACTTACATGCCAATTTTTTTTCAGTAGTTACAGTACTGTAAATGTATTTTCTTTCTTATGATTTTCTTTTTTTCCCTTTTTTATTAATTTTTTTTTAAATTTGCGTGTAGTTGATACACGATGTTACATTAGTTTTAGGTGTACAACATAGTGATTCAACTTACTATACCTTATGCTGTGTTCACCATACGGTAGCTCTCATGTGTCACCAAACAAAACTATCATAGTACTTTCTGATTTTATTAATAACAGTTTTTTTATTTTTTTTAAATTGTTTTTTTTTATGTTTATTTATTTTTGAGACAGAGACAGACAGAGCATGAACAGGGGAGGGTCAGAGAGAGAGACATAGAATCTGAAGCAGGCTCCAGGCTCTGAGCTGTCAGCACAGAGCCTGACGCGGGGCTCGAACTCACGAACTGTGAGATCATGACCTGAGCCGAAGCCGGACGCTCAACCGACTGAGCCACTCAGGCGCCCGTAACAGTTTTTTAAATTTTTTTTTTTTTTTTTTTTTAACGTTTTTATTTTTTTTTATTTTTGGGACAGAGAGAGACAGAGCATGAACGGGGGAGGGGCAGAGAGAGAGGGAGACACAGAATCGGAAACAGGCTCCAGGCTCTGAGCCATCAGCCCAGAGCCTGACGTGGGGCTCGAACTCACGGACTGCGAGATCGTGACCTGGCTGAAGTCGGACGCTTAACCGACTGCGCCACCCAGGCGCCCCAACAGTTTTTTAAATTTAAGTAATCTCTACCCCCAGCATGGCGCTCAAACTCAGGACCCTGAGATCAAGAGTCTCATGCTCTTCTGACTGAGCCAGCCAGGTGCCTCCTTAATAACATTTCTTTTCTCTAGCTTACTTTATTATATACACAAATGACATATAACGTGTGTTAACTGACTATTTATATTATTGGTAAGGCTGCCAGTCAGCAGGCTGGTAGTTAAGTTTTTGGGGCGTCAAAAGTTACATGTGGATTTTTGATTGTGTGGGGTGGGAAGGCCAGCACCTCTGACCCCTGTGTTGTTCAAGGGTCAGCTGTGTATGTTTTGTTTCATGCCTCGTCGACACACTTTACGGTGACTCTCTAGGAACTAAGTGTCAGTTGTGGTGTAGTTTTACGTTAGTCTTCAGTCTTCATCTCAGTTTTAAATGATGGAACTTTAAAGCCAGAAAGACTTGTTTAAACCTTTATCTTGAAGTTATTTCACACTTACAGAAATGTTGCAAGTACAGTACAGAGAACCCTCGAATAAATTATATTTAGATTCATTCAATTTTAGCTTGCCATATCTGCTTTATCATTTTCTTTCTGTACACATATGCACATTGTTTTCCTAAGTCATGTGACAGCAGGTTGTAATACATCTTGCCTTTTTACCTTTTGATACTTTGATGGTATTTTTCTCTGATAAAACCATAGTATAGTTACCAAATTTAGGAAAATATTGACATACTACTTGAGTCTGTAGTCTACATTCCAGTTTTGTCAATTGCTGTAATATCCTTTGTGGCATTCTAGCTCCCTCGTTTAGTCTCCTTTAACCTGGCACAGTTCTTTACCCTTTTCCTTTACCTTTTCGTCTTTGTCTTTTCATGACCCCGCCATTTGGAAGAATTCAGTCCAGTTATTTTGTGGAATGCTCCTTGGTTTGAGTTGGTCCGATGTTTCCTTGTGATTAGATTGGGTTGTACGTCCATGGCTCTACTACAAAAGTGATGTTGTATCCTTCTTAGATTATCACATCTCAGAGGCACACAGTATCTGTCTGCTTCTTATTGGTGATACTGATTTTGATCACCTTGTCTTAACATTTGGTTTCTCTTAGTTATTATTCTTGCCCGTGCGGATAATAAGCTACCAGTGAAGAGACTCTGAGAGTATGCAATAATGCCCTCTTTCTCATCACACTTTTTCTTATGAATTTAGCATACATCAATAATTCTTGAACCAGTCTTTACTATGATGGTTTTAAAGCAGGTGATTTTACCAATGCTATCCTCCCTCCACATTTGTAAGATGATATTCTATTGTATGTCCTTTGGTTTCATCATTTTACTCTGACATATCCCCTATCATGTTCAAAATGTTCCTGGCTCATTCTTGTACCTTTCCTGCCTGAGATTTGAAATCAGCCGTTTCTTCAAGGATCCCAGATTCCTTTCAATGGGCAATAGATTCTAGAAGCCAATATCTGAACTCTAGGTATGCTTACTGCTACAGGGTATTACTGCTTCTGGACTTTTTCAGCAGAGACAGAAAATATATATATATTTGAAAATATGTATGTATATATGTTTTAGAAATACTTCCATTTTCTTAAAAAAATTTTTTTTAATGTTTAGTTTTGAGAGAGAGAGAGAGAGAGAGAGAGACAGACAGCACAAGTGGGAGAGGGGCAGAGAGAGAGGGAGACACAGAATCCGAAGCAGTCTCCAGGCTCTGAGCTGTCAGCACACAGCCCGATGTGGGGCTCAAATTCATGAACCATGAGATGATGACCTGAGCTGAAGTCAGATACTTAATCAACTGAGCTACCCAGGCATCCCAAAATACTTCCATTTTCAAATCAACCCCATAAGTTTTTCTTTGCCTTCTTTCATTTCATTTTTTAAAAATCTCTCTTCATCATTATGTTTACTCATTTGCTCAGTCTTGCAGTACACATAAAATAATTTCAGAATTGCTACATCTATTACTCTGTGAGAAACAGACTTTCTAAGGAGTTGAGAATTTGTCAGTATTACCCCCCTGGCTTAGAGTATGTGTTCAAGATTATGTGTTCAGAAGTTTCTTCAATCAGTCCTTTCCTCCTCCCCCACCATTCCCCATCCTTTCAGTGTGATTATTCATGTGAAATACAGTTGGTCTCATTTGTTTCTGTTTGCATTCAATTTTAGTTACTATTCTCCTCCCAGTTTTGCTGATTTAATTTTTTTGAATATGTAGAAGTTGATACATTTCCAAAAATAAAAACAACACAATAAGCTGTATTTAGGGAAGTTTCTTCCCTCTTCATCCTTCCAGCATATTTTCCCCCACCCCTTGTCATTAACCAGTTTTATTGTTTTCTGGTTTATTATTTCTGCATTTCTTTTTGCAAAAGTAAGCAGATATGTTTGTTTTATTTCTTCTTCTTTCTTTTTTCTTTTTTCTTTTTTTTTTTTTCAACGTTTATTTATTTTTGGGACAGAGAGAGACAGAGCATGAACGGGGGAGGGGCAGAGAGAGAGGGAGACACAGAATCGGAAACAGGCTCCAGGCTCCGAGCCATCAGCCCAGAGCCCGACGCGGGACTCGAACTCACGGAGTGCGAGATCGTGACCTGGCTGAAGTCGGACGCTTAACCGACTGCGCCACCCAGGCACCCCAATTTCTTCTTCTTTCTTACACAAAGTGTAGCATTCTGTAGACATCCTCCAAAACAAACTTTTCAAAACATCTTGTCCAAATCTATTAGTTTACAGATGAGGAAACTAAGGTTCAGTGCTTCTAAATTTTTTAGTCTTTGATGTTCCCGTTTTTACTGTTCTTTGCTTCTTATCATTTGTTTAAAATGCTCTGTGTGCTTTGTGAGCTTTCTTGTCTTCCTTTTCTGTAAGTTTAATCGTGTAAATCAATGGAATTCTCTTTTGACATTTTATAGCTGGACTATGAGTATATGAAAACATTTACATGTAAGCTTGCATTCTTTTTAACAGGTGGTCAGTCTGACCAAGGCTATGGGTCTAAGGATGAACTTATAAAGGATGACGCAGAAATTCATATGCCTGAAGAACAAGTAGCAAGAGAATTGATAACTAAAACAAAAGTGCAAACAGAAGGTTGAGTACTGATATTTGCTAGCTTTACTTAGAAAAATACTGTAGTTTTTTTTTTTTTTTTTTCCCTTAAGATTTCTTTAGTAATCTTTACACCCAATGTAGGGCTCAAACTCACAACACTGAAATACAGGGTCACATGCTCTACTGACTGAGCTAGCCAGGTGCCCTTGTCTTAATTAAGTCTTATTTGATAATTTTGGTGATAATTTCTAGAAAGAAATGTAAGGCCTGGGCTTATAAGATACTATGTAATGTTAGCTATGGATAGAATGAGTAGTTTCTGAATTTTAGAATTCAAGAGATCTTTTAGAGACAGTAGGTCAACCCTCAATTTTGTAGGAAAGTGTGATCCATTGACGTATTGATTCGCCAAAGTCAAACAGCTATTTTGTGATAGAACCAAGACTGAACTTGAAGTCCTCAGACTTGTGTTCCAGTGCCTGTTTTATTTTAAAATGCCATTTCACTAGAAGTCCTTCAAATATCTAAGTAGGTATTTTTCATTGGTAGGTTAAATACAGTGTGTGTGGTTTTCCTGTTTGTTTTTATTTTTTTGTTTTTTAATGGGACTCATTGAGGTAGATATGGTTTGTAGTAATCATTTTATGCAAATGTGGAAGAATTTTCTGGCTTCATGGTAATAAAATGTTCTTCCTATCCTCTTACATAAAAGTATACTTTCCTTCAATGATGTCACTTATTTTACGCTCCAGAGTTATGCAGAAGCAAGCCCTCTCCTACTTTACAGGTGATGAGAGTATGTTTGAAGTCCAAAGCCTTAATTTATTCACAGGAGTGCTCAAGTTAGCATTATTGATGCTACAATAAAGCATTTATTTCAGTCAATGCTGGCAACATTTATGGCATAAAGTAAATTAGACACAGTAAATTAGTAATAAAATAGTCATATTCACTCACACTTGGAGAAAAATATAAAAGAATAAAATATTATAAAAATCAACATACGGTTTCTGTGCAGGATAAGTAGGAATAACATCCAAATATCTTTTTCCCAGAAGTGTGTGATGTCTCTGCTGTTGTAGCAAAACAGTCACAACCTAGTGCAGAGTCACAGAGTCCTACTGAGCCTCCTGCATGGGGCAGCAGTATTGTGAAAGTTCCATCTGGTATATTCGATCTCAATGGCAGGAAAAGCAGCACTGGTGAGTCTTTACATAATGATTTCTAAGTATTTAAAATATACTTCTACAGATATATATGTCTTTAATGACATTAAATTGATGACCTAATTGTGATGAACATGCTAAATTTAGAGCCAGAAGTAAGTTTGAATCCTATAAATTGGCTAAAGAAGTTGTTACTTAAAATGTTTAGTGTTTAAAAGGAGGGGTATTTATTGTGTCCAGTTGTTACTGGGAATACATTTTCTTGTTGCAGTGCCTGTTCTCAGTTTGGTCTCTCTTTCTCATGGTAGATAATTAGAGAGGACTGCAGGGCCTCCTATACTCATTAAGAGCAAAGAGGCAGAGATGTTACTAAATTCCAAAGGGGTTTTGTATGGCAATGGAAAGGCAATGGAAGAAAAAGATTCATATCACTATGCTTTACTACACAAAAATACCAGTGGGTTTTTAATTTGGCCAGTTTTTATAGGTATCCTGAGCCACTTATTTGTGATTAAGTATTTGTTTTTTTGTTTTTATGTTTTTTTATAAATTTTTTTTTAACGTTTATTTATTATTGAGTTACAGAGACAGAGCATGAGCATGAGAGGGTCAGAGAGAGGGGGAGACACAGAATCTGAAGCAGGCTCCAGGCTCTGAGCTGTCAGCACAGAGCCCAACATGGGACTCGAACTCACAAACTGCGAGATCATGACCTGAGCCGAAGTCAGATGCTTTACCAACTGAGCCACCCAGACGCCCCTGTTTTTATGTTTTTTTAATGTTTACTTATTTTTGAGAGAGAGAGAGAGAGCAGGGGAGGGGCAGAGACAGAGAGGGAGACACAGATTTCGAAGCAGGCTCCAGGCTCTAAGCTGTCATCACAGAGCCCGATGCAGGGCACGAATTCATGGACCACGAGATCATGACCTGAGCCGAAGTCAGATGCTTAACCGACTGAGCCACCCAGGTGCCCCTGGTTTTTTTTTTTTTTTTTTTAAGTTTATTTATTTATTTTGAGAGAAGAGAGCACAAGTCGGGGAGGGGCAGAGAGAGAGGGAGAGAGAGAATCCCAAGCAGACTTCGAACTGTCAGTATGGAGCCCAACCCAGGGCTCAAACCCATGAACCATGAGATCATTACCTGAGCCAAAATCAACAGTGCGACGCTTAACTGACTGAGCCACCCGGACTCCCCAGAATATATTTTTTAAATTGAGTGTAGAACTCTTAAAATGTAAAATATATTTATAGGTCTGTATTTGTTGATAGGTTTTAGTGAACAATACAGGAATACACAGCATACATTGCTTGATTGTTAAATGTGTATATGTATGCATAGAGGATGAAAGGCAGATAATACATTACAATGTTATTTCTGGGAGGCAGGATTGAATGGAGGCCTTTTGTTGTTCTTTTTTTGTGTACTTTCTTTGTGCCTTCTAAACTTTCTGAATCTTACTCTATGTGTCGCTTTTCAAAAACCAGAAAAGACACTTTTGTAAAAGTTATATTGGAAAATAGAGTTTCGTTTTTAATATTGTACCTTCCCTTTTAGGTAGTACATCAAATGTGCCATTTTCTACTCAAGATCCAGTTGAAGATGCAGTCTTTGGTGAAGTTGCTAATCCCAAGAAGAATGGTGATAGAGGAGATAAAAGGCAAAAGCATTTCCCAGAGAGGAGTTGTAGTTTCAGTTCTGAAAGTCGAGCTGGAATGTTGCTTAAGAAGAGCAGTTTGGATCTGAATTCAAGTGAAGTGGCTATTATGATGGGAGCAGATGCCAAGATTCTCACAGCCGCACTGGCCTGTCCTAAGACTTCTCCACTCCGTGTTGCGAGCACCCACAGCTTTGAGACTGCTAACAGTTGTCATCTAGTTGATACTAGGACTCGTGTGTCTGAAAGCACTTGGGATTCCGAGCACAGATCTTCTTCGGTATTAGAGATGCTTGAAGAGAGCCAAGAGCTCCTGGAACCTGTGATTGAGGACAGTGCAGCGAAAACTACTATGAAAAAGGACACATGTGACAGTCTCCAGAATGATAGTAATCAGCCCAGAGACTTGAAAGTAGAACCCAAAGATGTAATAAATAAGAGGAGTAGTTTACATGGTGTTGTTAAAGCTATTGAGAGGGAGGATGTTGAAACTGGACTAGATCCTTTGTCTCTTTTGGCCACTGAATGTACTGGAGTAAAATCTCAAGATTCTGAAGATAAGATGTCTTCTCCAGTTATTGCACGCAATCTGGCTGATGAAATTGAAAGCTATATGAACCTAAAGAGTCCTTTGGGTAGCAAGTCTGCTAGTATGGAATTACACGGAGAGGGAAGCAGAGAGTCTGGCACCATCACTGCATGTATTCACTCTCTAGAGAGGCGATCAAGCCTACCTTTAGAGCACGGTCCGGCAGCACAGGAAGTTCCTGAAAGTGAAAAGAGCTCTCCTGCAGAATCTAGGTCTAAAGCTTTCACTGGGCGTTTCAAGCAGCAGACTCCCTCTCGCGCTCACAAAGAACGTTCACCTTCTCTGTCAGCACTAGTGCGGTCTTCACCACATGGCTCGCTGGGCTCTGTGGTAAACTCTTTGTCAGGACTAAAGCTAGATAATATACTCTCAGGACCCAAGATCGATGTCCTCAAATCTGGCATGAAACAAGCAGCTACGGTAGCCAGTAAGATGTGGGTAGCTGTAGCGTCTGCCTATAGCTACTCAGATGATGAGGTAAGAGTGTTTTATGTGTGTGGTCTGATACTGGCATGTTTCTCATATTTTTTTATATGTAAATTATTATTCAGAGATTGCTGGTAACTTTGATGTTTAAACTTGAGGCATATGTTACTTCTTCCTTGAAATGACCTGAACCTAAATGTGAGGAAATTAATAATAAAGAAATAGAATATCAGGACTACTTTATAATTCCATAGATCAGTCTGAACTAACACGTTGTTTCTTTAAAAGTACTGATGATTAATACTTAATAATGCCATGTTATGTTTGCATAGCACTTCACTCTTTTTTTTTTTTTTTTAATTTTTTTTTTAACGTTTATTTATTTTTGAGACAGAGAGAGACAGAGCATGAACGGGGGAGGGGCAGAGAGAGAGGGAGACACAGAATCGGAAGCAGGCTCCAGGCTCTGAGCCATTATCCCAGAGCCCGATGCGGGGCTCGAACTCACGGACCCTGAGATCGTGACCTGAGCTGAAGTCGGACGCTTAACCGACTGAGCCACCCAGGCGCCCCATAGCGCTTCACTCTTAAATAACTTTTATCTATGTTAGCTCTTACATATATGTGAAATCACTCTGCAACTTAGCCTACATATTTCATACTGCATCACAAAAACTGCTAATTCTTTTGAAAATTATTGTAAAGAGAATTAGTCATTAGACCTTTTTATGAAGTAGAAGTGGGGAAATTTTGCTTATTTGTTTTATAGAAAAAATTTAATTAAAATTTCACCTTTGTGTTTACAGAATTATATAGTATTTAGGCACTTTAGTAGAAAAGACAAACATTTATAAGTGTTCACCACTATGTCACAGGTACTCTCATAAGCTATATATCTATTTTGATAATTTTCATAGCAACCCCACACATCGGTACTGTTGGCATCCCTGTTTTATAGATGAGGTATCTAAGAGTTAGAGAGGTTGATTAATTTCTCCAGGTCCACACAACTAGTGAGAGGCAGAACTAGAATTTGAACTCTGGGAGGTTGACTCTAGAGTCCATGCTTTTAAACTACTGTAATAGCAAAGAAGAAAGCAATATCTTAGAAGGGGTTCCAGCAGGGGGCTGTCCAAAAAGAGCAAAGCAGGTGATATGTAAGTTGGGTTTGGGTGGATAAATTTTAAATTTTGGGTTAGTCAAAGTGATAAGGTGGTACAAGGTGTATCTGAGAGAATAATGTGAAAAAGCATGGAGGCATAAAACATGCATTTTCAAGATAATACACAATCCATCTCAGATTGCTAAAGTTCTAAATAGGAGGCTAGAGACATAGGAAATGAAATTGGACAAATAAGATTTATATACCATTTGAAAGAAAACTTTATTCTATAGGCAAACTATTAATTGAATCAAAAGTACAATACTGAGTACTATAAGACACAGTTGCATTTTATTGCATTTTAAAGAGCTTACAAGGTCAGTGAAGGAAAGGCCAAATAAACTAGTTTCAAAAGTATCTTAACCTTGCTTTGTGTTAAAGTAAACTAACCAAATGAGCCACTTGAGTTTTGAAATTTTATCTAACAGTGTTAATAATAATAAAACCTTTCTACAGAGTAATTTGACTTGGAATGTGTGACTATAAATTCTAGGTGGTCACAGACCTTAATCTTTCTTTTCTTTTTATTGCTATGGCCCTGGTACTAGAGCCTGACAGAGGCAAATAGGTTATACCTAGTAAATATTTTCAAATGAAGGAATGGATACAAAGTCCATAAAAAATGTTTATAACTTTTATCCAGAATTTAAGGAAATAATTATGTGTAAAAATAACTCGAAAGAATTCATCAGTGTAACTTATATAAAATTTAAGAGCATTCTGAATATTTAAGCAATAGAGATTTACTAAATGCATAACAGTACATCAGTAAACTGGATTAGGTTTCAGGGGTTTAAATAATGTAGATTTAATGACATTAAAATACATTATATGAGAATAAGTTAAAAGATATCCTATTTTGTAAAAATGTATTATATATGCATATTTTAAAATGACTAGAAGGACATACATCAAGATTTTGATTATGCTGTGTAGTGTTGGTAATATAAATGCTTTTTTTTTTTTTTTTTTTTTTTTTGAGAGCGAGAGAGAGAGAGAAAGTACAGGAAAGGGGGAGAGAGTGAGAGGAGAAAAATAAGAATCTCAAGCTGGGCTCTATCTCACAACCATGAGATCATGACTTGAGCCAAAATCAAGAGTCAGACACCTAACTGACGGAGCTACCCAAGCACCCCACTATTAGGTGCTTTTATTTCCTGTTTTGCATGTCTGTTTAAGTTTTATATCATTTAACATGGTTTTATAACAAGACACAAGTCTTCTTTAAAGCAAAAATCAAAAAGGAGGGGCTCCTGGGTAGCTTATTTAGTTAAGTGTCTGACTCTTGATTTTAGCTCAGGTCATGATCTCATGATTTGTGAGATTGAGCCCCGCATCGAGCTCTGCGCTAACAGCACGGAGACCACTTGGAATTCTTTCTCTCCTCTCTCTGCCCTTTCCCTGCTCACGTTGTCTCTCTCTCTCTCTCTCTCTCTCTCTCAAAATAAATAGACATTTAAAAAAATCAAAAAGGAAACTGCTTATTGAAATGTTTTCTATCTAAAGTGTCAACAGTCACTTGCAGGAGTTCAGAACTACAGTGTTTGGAACTTTATTCATATTTTATGCCTCTAATATTGATGGTTGTTGTCTGAAAATTATATTGACAGATGAAATTCTCACAACAACCATATTTTAAAGGACTCCTATTATCCATATTTTTCAGATGATATAATTAAAAGTTGGAGTAGTTAAATAATTTCTGCAAGGTCATATACATAATATATGATGGTGAGCCAAGACCACAGTCTGGCTGACTGACTTTAAAGCCCTTACTGTGCTTGTGCTGGGGTGCCCAATTCCAATGGAGACAGTGGGCTCCTGGAGTTACTTCATTTTATGATATTGATTATTTAAAAAAAAAATTTTGGGGGCGCCTGGGTGGCGCAGTCGGTTAAGCGTCCGACTTCAACCAGGTCACGATCTCACGGTCCGTGAGTTCGAGCCCCGCGTCGGGCTCTGGGCTGATGGCTCAGAGCCTGGAGCCTGTTTCCGATTCTGTGTCTCCCTCTCTCTCTGCCCCTCGCCCGTTCATGCTCTGTCTCTCTCTGTCCCAAAAATAAATAAACGTTGAAAAAAAAAAT